GGCCTGTGGGCAGAAAGGCTGGCAGAGAACTTTCCTCCAATTCAACAAATACTGGTCACCCATGCCCCAGTGACAGCCATGAGCAGCACAGATGAGACCGCCACCCTCCAGAGCTCAGGCTGGTGAAGAATAAGAATGGGGTGCGGGGAAGGAGAAGGGCAGGGCGTGGGAGGGAGGACCTGCAGGCCCCAGCCCTAGGAGCATGAAGTGGAAGTGCTCCCGGGCTGCTGATCCCAAAAAGGGCACTGACTGGGGCGAGGGCGGGCAGAAAGTCCTGCAGAGAGCTCTCGCAAGAAGTCCCAGAGACAAACACCAACTAGACCCACAGTCCCAGAAAGCAGGTCCATTTCACAGCTGAGGCTCAGCACAAGATCTGGTCCCAAAACAGAAAGACAAGTGAAACCAGAAGAAACCGGAGCTGCAGCTACACACGTCTGTGACTGAGAGCATAGGCCAGAGTCCCCAAGGCTAAGCTGCCAGATCACTGAGGCAGGGAAGGCAGGGTGTGGGCCCCTGAACTCTGGGCGTCCGTGGGGTGGTCAACTATAGAAGCCCAGATTCGCAAGGCAGAAGCAGGGCTGAAAGCTGAATAAATTCCAAACAGGATAGTGGGAGTTGCTCAAAACAGCAAGCAGCTTGCCCAGGAGGAAAGAGCAAGTCCCACAGAGCACTTCCCAGACCCAGAGCCTCAGGAGGTAGGAAAGACAAGCGACCCTCAGAACTTCTTATCCCTAGACCACTCTCATTAGCTTGAGAAGGAAGACCTGGCAGTTCTAATTAGCTTCACAGCTGTTCAAAGTATTATCATCAAAGTATCAAAGACTCAAACTAGTCTTTCAGAGAAATAAACTGGTCACATTTTGCAGATGAGTAAACCAAGGCTGAATGACTTGTCTGAGGCCCACAGCACACAAAGGCAGAGCCCAGCATATGTGTGGTGACTGACCTGGGCAGGCTGGGTAGATGGAGGGTTCCTCCTATTGGAAGCCTGCACTACAAATTTTAAAGTAGCATCTAGACCAAGCACAGTGGCTCATACAGGTAATCCTGGCACTTTGGGAGGCTGAGATGGGAGGATCACCCAAGGCTAGCAGTTTGAGACCAGCCCAGACAACATACCAAGATCCCATCTCTACAAAAAAGGAAATTAGCCAGAATGGTGGCACACGCCTGTAGTCCTAGCTTCTGAAGAGGCTGAGGCAGGAGGATCACTCGAGCCCAGGAATTTGCGGCCACAGTGAGCTATGATTGCACCACTGCACTCCAGCCTAGAAGAAAGAGTAAGGCCCTGTCTCTTTAAAAAAAAAAAAAAAAAAAAAATTAATAGCCTGGGCAACATGGCAAACCCTGTCTCTACAAAAAAATGCAAAAATTAGCCAGGCATGGTGGCATACGCCTTGTGGTCCCAGCTACTCAGGAGGCTGAGGTGTGAGGATCGCCCGAGCCCAGGAAGTCGAGGCTGCAGTGAGCTGAGATTGCGCCACTGCACTCCTGCCTGGATGATAGAGCTATGGAATCCTTTCGCCAGGTGCTCTGCAAACAGTATGGGCTGTTTGGCGGAACAGCTATAATTAACAATAATAATTAGTATTATTATGTAATAATAATTACAAAAGAAAAAGTAGCTGGGTGTGGTGGCTCACGCCCACCCATCCAGCACTTTGGGAGGCCAAGGTGGGAGGATTACTTGAAGCCAGGAGTTTGAGACCACCCTGGGCAACACAGTAAGACCTGGTCTCTACAAAAAATTTAAAAATTAGCCAGGCATGGTGGTGCACACCTGTAGTCCAAGCTGCTCAGGAGGCTGAGGTAGGAGGATGGCTCGAGCCCAGGAGTTCAAGGCTGCAGTGAGTCATAATTGTGCCACTGCATTCCAGCCTAGGCAACAGAGCAAGACCCTGTCTTTTAAAAAATAAAGTAGCATCTGGTGGGGCGCAGTGGCTCACATTTGTAATGCCAGCACTTTGGGAGGCCAAAGCAGATAGATCACAGTCAGGAGTTCAAGACCAGCCTGGCCAACACAGTGAAACCCCGTCTCTACTAAAAATACAAAAAATTTAGCTGGGCGTGGTGGCGGGCACTTGTAATCGCAGTTACTCGGGAGGCTGAGGAAGGAGGATTGCTTGAACCCAGGAGGTGGAGGTTGCAGTGAGATGAGATCGTGCCACTGCACTCCAGCCTGGGTGACAGAACTAGATTCTGTCTCAATAAACAAATAAATAAATAAATAAAGGAGCATCTAAATCCCACAGAAAATGAGTGAGATTCACCACCTGTGCTTGGCACATACAGGGTTTCCAATCTTAGTTCTTAGCTAACTATAGCCACGTGCCTTAGCACTCTCTGCTTTTACCTTTGTTTGGATGCAACACAGACTGACGTGACCAGTAACCGTCAGTCTTTCCCTCAGTTCTGAATGTCTGCCCTGACTGTTGCCTTACAGCTAGAAGCAAAGCCATTCCTGTCTCCACTTGTACCAATCCCCAACCCCCATCCCCCAATAAAGCAAGGGAAAAAGTAGGTTGAGAAAGAACTGTCAGATCTTTTCAAAACTCCTTTTAATTGCAGCTTATTTTTAAGTGCTGCTTGCAGTGAACACCAGGATCTGAAAAGCTAAGATAGGTTCTCCCCTTTGGAGCTGCTCTCAGGGAGAAGCAAGGCCCCTCTAAGAGCATAGAGCTGGGATTGCAGGAGAACGGCCCTTTTCACAGCCCTTAGCCCACCTCCCCGCCTCCTTCAGGCTCCACTGCCAGAGAAGCAGAAAGGACAGGGATTCAGCTCAGCCAGCCACCCAAAGTTAAACACCAGAGCCACATGCCCAAACAGCTTACATTGTTTGCAGAACACCTGGTGAAAGAATTCCATAGACAGCATGAAGGCCTTGGTACCACCAAGAGTCACCTTGAGTCCCCAAGGACAGTTTTGAATGGACAAGGAGGTATAAAACTGAGGACAGGGAGAACCCTGGCCCAGCCAGGCCACATCTGTTTATACTCTAGGGAACCTGAGGTCCAGAATGGATATAGGATTCACCCTAAGTCACCCTACTCCCTACAAATCCTAGCTCATCAAATCTCTAACCAATCAGTTTTTTTGTTTGTTTGTTTTTTGAGATGCAGTCTCGTTCTGCGCTCTTGTTGCCCAGGCTGGAGTGCATCTCGGCTCACTGCCACCTCCACCTTCCGGGTTCAAGCGATTCTCCTGCCTCAGCCTGCCGAGTACCTGGGGTTACAAGTGTGTACCACCATGCCCGGCTAATTTTTGTGTTTTTAGTAGAGACAGGGTTTCGCCATGTTGGCCAGGCTGGTCTCGAACTCCTGACCTCAGGTGATCCACCCACCTCGGCCTCCCAAAGCGCTGGAATTATAGGTGTGAGCCACCGTGGCCGGCCTCTAACCAACCAGTTTTGAGCACGACAGTTCAAAACAGAAGTAGAAAAACCAAAGCTGCACAAAGAGAAGGCAAGCCAGAAATAACTAAAAAGAAAGGACTGGGGAAATGTGGCTCTTGCAAGAAGGGCACTGTTTAAGCTGGCAAGGAGAAGCAAGGCTGTCTCCCAAGAAGGAAGGGTTTCAGTGAGGCTATCTAAGCTGGTCTAGCCAGCACCCACAGCCAGCGAACTGAGACTCACAGTGAGAAGAGAATGAGAATGGATACGCTTGAATGAAAGTACCAGAATGTAGGTGGCCAAAAAAAATCAACTAACTCAGGAGTAGGATATGGGGGTGTGGAGCTTCTGTCTCAGAAATCAGAGATGTCCCTGGCCCAGTAACCAAGATATTTGCCCACCTGCAATCATCAAGCCACATTCCTGCTGGAAACACTTTCTGGTTCCCACCTCCAACCAAAACGCACCATGACAACCGAATCCCAGCACACAAGACTCCAGTCCACCTTTTCTGTCTCATTCACCTCCCACATCTCTCTGTTAGTGTTCCACTAAAGCACCAGCCCCCTTCCCCAAATGCCCAGAACTCCCCAACTTCCTGCCGTTGCTCACAGCACTGCTCCCACTTGGAAGGCTCTCACATATTCTGCCTGCTAAAAAATCCCCACACATTCTTAAAGAATCGGGGGAGGGGGACTCAGGCTCAGAGAATAACGCAGCAATCAGATTCCTCAAGGCAGAGACAGTGCCCTTCTGTCCCCATCATCCTCAAGCCTCATGGAGCCAACACAGGAGCTGCTATTTAGCAAAAGGCAGAGGTAATTCCTGGAACCCCTGCCAGTTCTGGAACCAGAGAAATCAGCTGTAACGTGATAAACCAGGAACACGTTAATCCCAGCTGTGTTTTAGCAGGGAGGCTGTTGCCTCAAGGAGGGCCAGCTCCAGCCTGCCAGACAACAACAGCCGGTGTTCTCTGCCGGGCCCACCTCTGGGCCGGGGAGGCACAGAAACAAAGCCAGCCTCCTCCCGGCCATCTTCACACTTAGCCCTGCAAGGAGTCCGGGGGAGACTGGACTCTGACTCGTCCAGCTCACTGTTTTCAGTCAGCAGAACTGAGTGTCTCAACCAGGTCTCGGGAGGCCAGGAGCTCATTAAAACCCCCAAGTTCCCACCGGAATGGGGTCAAGTGTCATGATCCCCCTGAAGCTTACTGCCATGCATTCATGGGGCACTAAGTGATCAAGGTGAGGGCAAGATGAAGTAACCCCCCCCTCCCACCTCAATTCTCAGTCAGACTCTCTCTAGCAAGCAGCTGGGTAATTATTAGCTTCTTACAAATCTTAGGAGTATTTACTTTTTAAGATAACCCCTCTCGGCTCTGCCTCCTGAATTCCACCCAGGCTAGAACTCTTTCCTACAGGGACCCCTCTATCACCCCAACCCCAGACATCCTGGTTGTGGGGAGGCAGAAATCCTTCCTGGCTGTGGGGTCACCTTACATGAAGCTATAAACTCAAGCCAAGATCCCAGCCAGCCGGCTGGCCACCAAGGTGAAGAAAGTCCCAGGGCCCCCTTACCAAAGCCGGACAGGCCCAACCCTCTGGTTCCCCACCTCGGTGACTGTCACCAGACCAGAGAAGTGGCTGGTCGGCCACGGCTCCAGAGGGGCCTACAGGAAGGAATTCTGCCGACTCTTCCGGGAACCAGGACTGGCAAAGACCCTAAGGGCCAAAGACACGGAGAAAGACTGGGGAACAGACCCAAGTTTCCGCAGAGCGCCCCCCCGCCCCCCATCTCCCCTCCTACCTAAAATGGTTTCCCTCCCACCACCCCCATTCCAACCCTCTTCCTTTTTACTTTCTTCCAAGAACTTATCACTGAGACTCTACTGCTTCTTTCTTCATTCGCTTATGTTCCTCCCTCCACTGGACCTTGGTTCCACCGGGGTAGGGCAGACACACAACGTGCGGTGCCTGGCAGCACCGGCTGCTCAACAATTGAATTCAATTCAACAAGTGAACCGTATTGCAAGGCCTCACCAGTGCCGGGTGCTGGGCACCAGTGAAGGGGCGGGAGGAGGCATTCTCTCGTTTTAGCCAGGCTTGGCTGACTGAGAAGCTGGCCATGGGGGTGGACGTCGTGGGGAGGACCCCAGCTGGGTCTGCTGCGGTTTTTCCCTTGCTCAGCGGCCCCAGCCTCCCAGAGGCCCGGCGCGCGCTCACCCGCTGCAGCTCAAGCTCGATCTCGCCGGCCTTGAGCACGATGGGTCCCCGCACCGCGTACTCCACCGCCTTCACCTGCGGGTTCATGGACTCCAGCGTGAGGATGCGCTCGCGCCGGCTGCGCTCGGGCCGCACCTTGAGCACTGCCGAGGCCTCGGCGGCCGCGCTGCTCTGACTGCGGCCCCAGGAGCTGGGGGTCCGGGGACCACAGCCCCGCCGGACCAGCGCCGCCGCCCGCTGCATCGCGCGCTTGCGGAGGGAAACCTTGGCACAAAAAGAGAAAGAGAATAAACACGTCGCGCACTGCCCTAGGCGGGCAGCAGTCCCACACCCAAGCCCAGCCAAGGGCTCTTTCAGCGAGCGGTGCCAGCCTGGCTTCGGTCCCCCGGCGACCGGGACCCTCCACCGCGCCGCTGAAGCACCAACGCGCACCCAGCCGGGTTTCGCAAAGGCTGCGCCCAAGGCATGCATGCAACGTGCCTGTCGCCCCTGGTAGGCCCTCGCTGCGCCGGGTTAGCTCGCGCGCCTGGAGCAGCTTCCCAGCCCCGGCGCCCGCAGCCGCATCCCCGCACCCGGCGCCCGCGCCGCCCGGCCCCTGCGCTCGCACACCCACCGCCGTCGGGGCCGCCCCGGGCCTGCGCGCTGCCTCCTGGGCCCTGTAGTTCTCCTGGCCGCTCTGGAGCGGCTGCGGAGAGCGAAGCGAACTACAAGTCCCACAGCACCCCGCGCGGGGCCGGACGGGGACCGGACAGTAGGCGGGAGTGCTCGTCCGAACGTGGCGGGGTCTGGGCGGGCTCATTGTCCCAGCTGAGGGGCTGGAGAGCCCGGAGGGGCCCGGCAGGGGCCGTGCTGTCTGTCGCGTCTGCGAAGCTAGAGCTGTTGGCAGCCTCTCCCTAGTGGCGCGTCCGCCCCCCACTGCCCTCACTGCCAGCACCTGCGAGGACGCAGGCTGCTGGATGGTGTAGTCATCGCCCCGAGTTTCATCATCCAAGGCCACACGGTGCTTGCGGCTGCCCACCGGAGCTGGCAGGAAGCGGGGTGAGGAGTCTGGGACTTGGCCACGCCGCCCTGACTCCCGAACGCCAGTTTCCTTCTCAGCAAGACGGGGATCTGCCCACGGCTTCTGAGGGTTGTTGTGAGACTTCAAGGACCATCTGCCAAGCGGTCAGCTTTTCCCGACCACTCCGTCTGACCCCCGACCTCCATCACTAACGTTTTATTTTCTGCCTAGCATCTGAAAGTATTTTCGGTTACTTTTTACTGGACTATGGTTTACCTCCCCCGACTAACCGTGCGAGCTCTAGAGGAGCAGGGGCAGTGTCTTTCTTGTTCATGGCATTCGCAGCACCTCTAACAGTTCCCGCCACAGAGGAGCCACTCAGTAAATATTTGTTTAAGAATGAATGCCCAGCACAAGGGGGCTATTATGTCTGGTAACGGTGTCTGCTGGCGAAAGGTGTCCTGGCTTGCCCAGACCAAGAGCAGGGCAAGACTAGGAGGAGGTGTAGGGTGGCGCAAAGGGAGTTCTGGAAGACTCGGGGTCTAATGGAAACACCAAAATCTACAAAATCAAAAAATACGAATACAGAATCTACAAAATCCCGTCTCGGTCCCAGATTCTCCATGTGCAAAATAAATTGGGTTAAATACCCTCTAAGGTCCTTTCTCTTGGAAATTCTGTGAGTCTGGGTGTCTTCAAGCAGAAAAACAGCCCAGAGCTCCCACATCCCAACACACACACACTCACAGTTTGTGAAAGTTGGGCCAGCAGTGTAGGGGAGAAGGTAGACCTGAGTCGGAATATCCACAGTTGCTTACAGCCGTGCACTGCTTAACTGAGTTTGTACTACCTCGTCTTGGTAAAGCCTAGTTTTCCTATGAGTAAAGTCAGGGTAACACCTGCCTCATACTGTGATTAAATACATTGGTTGCCAATAAAAGAGGAAACGAGGTAGGGAGAACAGCAGAAAGCGAAGATATCTTTGAGTGTTCCTATGTCAGCAAAGTGGGTTGGTCCACCAAAGGCCCTGGAAGGATATTTGGGCTTCTCATGTACTGGTTCCACCCCCGCACCTTTGTCTACACTAGGTCTTGATGGCCAGGTATTCATTCAGTCTTCAGGTAAAAGTCTTCCCCAGTGAGCTTAGCTCCTCCTTCAGTGTCGTCATTATCGACTGCCCAGCTGAGGAGACACAAACAACCCTCCACCTCCAAAAAACGCTGACCTTGACTTGCATGTGATGTCCATGCAGTCCCTTGCTGTCCACCCACAGGTCAGTGTGCTATGCTCTTCCGTTGTCTCTGACTCTGATCAGTAGGGACAGGGGAGGAGGGGCTTAGAGAGGTGATCACAAATCTATTTCCACAACTGGGAACAACAACTAGCACACAGCCTTCTTATGTGTGCTCCCATATCGTCACTGTGAAAAACACATCGAGTGCCTAACATGCGCTCTGCCAACCCATCTATCTGAGATTGCTTGAGGAAAAAAGCTTCCTTGCTTTCTTGTGAACCACTGTACAATTTGCAAAGCACTTTCTTACCCCAAAGCACAGGCAGTATTATTCCCACTTTATAGATGAGGCTCAGAGAGGTTAGGTGACCTGTTCAGGTGGTGCAGCTAAATGGGAGAGCAGTAATTGTGATTTCTAACCCAGTGCTACAGCCCATGCCTGCAGGGACCAGTCTTGTGTAGCTCTCTGGGTTTGGAAATTCAAGCTTGCCATTACAATGAACAAAGCCTTTGAAAAGTTTCTGGGTGGTGGTTGTGATGATGATGGTGGCAATAGCATAAACTTTGCTTTTATTTTTATTTATTTACACATCTAACCCAGTCCAAGAGTGTGTGTGTGTGTTCATTTTGTTTTGTTGTTCTTGTCTGATTTTTATTTTTATTTTATTTTTATTTTTATTTTTTGAGACAGAGTCTTGTTTCAGTCACCCAGGCTGGAATGCAGTGGCACGATCTAATCTCACTGCAACTTCTGCCTCCTGGGTTCAAGCAATTCTTCTGCCTCAGCCTCCTGAGTAGCTGAGACTACAAGCGTGCATCGGCTAATTTGTTTTTTTTTTTTTTTGTTGGGGGGGGGCGTATTTTTAGTAGAGACAGGGTTTCCCGATATTGACCAGGCTGGTCTCGAACTCCTGGCCTCAAGTGATTCACCCACCTCAGCCTCCCAAAGTACCGGGATTACAGGGGTGAGTCACCTCACCCAGCCTAATGATTTGCTTTTATTTTGCCCTCTAGACCAGGTGGGGATGGATAGGAGCTGGCTCCTAAATATTAAAGCTAAAACCTGATTGAAATGATCATTAAAGCCCTTCCTGTAAGCTGAGTGAGAGCTTCAAATACACAAGGTCCCGTCAACCCACATAGCTGGAGAGTCATATGTTTGCAAGACATAATACCCATCTTTATTCCATAATGTAACTAATTCTTCTTGGGCACTTACCCTGTGCCAGGCATGAGGCTGAGTTCTGGGACTACAAAGAGTCAAGCCGACTGTTCCTACCTGCGTAGAACATACAGTTTCTTAGGGAAGGCAGAGGTCATCACAAGTGATTACAAACTGTCATAACCCCTGGGGATAAAAAGGATGGAGTTTTCTGAGCGTTCAGAGGTCTGCGCAAAGATTTCCCAAACGAGATGGTCCATGAGCTGCTCCCACCCCAGCCCTGGAAGGTTGATAAGAGACATCACTCCCGGCCAGTGTGGAGATGCGCCTAGCCTGGGATTGCCATGGTGCCCTAAGTGAAGAGGCAGGTACTCAGCATATAAGAATCCAGCTGTTTCCATAGCTCCAGGGCTTCCCCAGCAGGTTACCTGAGGTTTTGTCAGGCCTATTTTTCATTCTCTGCCCAATCCTACTTTCTCCCACTTCCTCTTGCAAGAGTTGATCCCTAATGCCCATTTTGCACCTTACACCCCATCTCAGTGTCAGTGGTGAGATGGACGGCTTGCCAGTCTGGGACCACTGAAGACCCTGAGGAACTCCAAGAAGGCCAGAGGGACTGCAGGGCAAACAGTTAAGCAAAACGGGAATCAGTGAGGTGAGCTGTGTCAGGACAGGTAGGCCAGGTCCTGAATGTAAGAATTTTGGTCTTCATCCTAAGAATAAATGCAAACCTCTGGAAGCCTTAAAGCAGGGGAGTGACATGATCAGATTTCTGTTTTAAATTATGTTGCATGGAGGATGGATTGGAGGGGTGCAAGGGAGGTTGCAGGAGGATTAATTGTGACTCCAACAAGGTCTGACGTTGGCCTGGACCAGGGTGTGGGGGATGGGAAGTGGATAGGTTCTTCTGTGTCCCCAACACCCAGCATATTACCTGGCACACAGGTCTTCAGTAAAATGTTGAATGGATATGGAAGTAGATTCTGTAAGGTCCATGCTCTCCAGATATCTGTAGTCCAGCAGGAGCTGAGTGGCGTAGGTAACTATGCTAAGGGCAGCCCCCAAGAATGCACTATCCCGTCCTTAGAGGCAGTGAAGGCTGTTAATAAATAACCACAGAGCAGAACAGAAAGTGAGAGAATCTTCTGAGAGAGCAGGTGGGCACCGTGGGGCTGGCAAGGAGGGACGGTAACCTCCCAGAATGCCAGATCGTGCCTGGTCTGGAGGCTTGGGAAACTCTTTCAAAGGTAACTCTTAGTCCCTTGCTCCCAATGGAGCCTGATGGAAGTTAGTGCTCTCAGCCGGCTGTGGTGGCTCACACCTGTAATCCCAGTTCTTTGGGATGCCCAGGCAGGAGGATCACTGAAGCCAGGAGATGGAGATCAGCCTGGGCAACATAACAAGACCCATCTCTGCAAATTAAAAAATTAGCTGGGCGTGGTGGTGTGTGCCTATAGTCCTAGCTATACAGGAGGCTGAGGCCAGGGAATCACTTGAACCCAGAAGTTCTAGGCTGCAGCGAGCATGATTGTGCCGCTGCACTTTAGTCTGGGTGATAGAGTAAGAACTTGTCTCGCCGGGCGCGGTGGCTCACGCCTGTAATCCCAGCACTCTGGGAGGCCGAGACGGGCGGATCACAAGGTCAGGAGATCAAGACCATCCTGGCTAACACGGTGAAACCCCGTCTCTACTAAAAAAATACAAAAAACTAGCCGGGCGAGATGGCAGGTGCCTGTAGTCCCAGCTACTCCGGAGGCTGAGGC